ACAAGTCTGAGGATTAATCAAATTACTCAAAATTATAAATCCGGCATAAAGATGGGTGCGTGTGCGTTTGGAGTTCAGAGTCTTATTTACATTCTGGGTAAAGTTATGTCACAACTCTGGTGCATGGTGCCTGCTGAGACACTTATTCTGCATCCCACAAAAAAACTGCTGTTTACCTTGTCATGCTCATTCTCTGTCAAAGTTCAGCTCATAATCTCTTGTCACTCAACCATCCGTGGACCATGGTTGACTTCTGATTAGAGAACCAAAATAGAAACTGTAGTTCTCATCCTACTCTTCTTTATCAAAAACAATAGCCCTTATCCTCCCTAAATTTGTGTACAAGAACACATTTTCTCCATATAGATCTATTGAGAGAAGTCTTCATTGTTAAACAACAACAATTTATCTGTTTTTCTGCCCTTGTTGAGCTGCTGCGGAACAATATCCTAATCATTCCTTCAACTAAACTCTTGTCACTCTTCCTAGTTGATGCAATCAGTAAACTTGCACTTGTGGGACTCTGCTGCATATACCTGAACCATCACAAGCTATGTTCATCCATCAACATTTCCACTGAATTACTCTCTTATTTATTGGAACTTAAACTAAATGAGTATTTACATTCATAATACTCTAGAAGCACTTTCTGTTCAAAGTAATGAAAATGAGAAAGGATGTTGTCCTCCTTTCTCATGAATTCAAAGTAATGAAAATGACTATTCTTTGTTAGGTATTCGTTGCAATTAATTCGAAGTATGCCTTAGGGTTTTTTTCAGGGAACCGCCCCTAACTTAATCTTAGGTTCTATTTCATGTTACCATCCTTAATTACCCAAGTTTCAGAAAACCATCCCAACTACCATTCCGTTATCATAGAACCATCCATGCCCTTTTCCATCCAATTTTCCATCCAAAGAATTATGGTTTGACAGTTTTACCCTTACATAGGTTTAGTTTTGTTGAAAGTTGGGCATCTGGACCATGGTTGACTTCTGATTAGAGAACCAAAATAGAAACTGTAGTTCTCATCCTACTCTTCTTTATCAAAAACAATAGCCCTTATCCCTAAATTTGTGTACAAGAACACATTTTCTCCATATAGATCTATTGAGAGAAGTCTTCATTGTTAAACAACAACAATTTATCTGTTTTTCTGCCCTTGTTGAGCTGCTGCGGAACAATATCCTAATCATTCCTTCAACTAAACTCTTGTCACTCTTCCTAGTTGATGCAATCAGTAAACTTGCACTTGTGGGACTCTGCTGCATATACCTGAACCATCACAAGCTATGTTCATCCATCAACATTTCCACTGAATTACTCTCTTATTTATTGGAACTTAAACTAAATGAGTATTTACATTCATAATACTCTAGAAGCACTTTCTGTTCAACTATTGATCTTATCTGGGATGTTGTCCTCCTTTCTCGTGAATTCAAAGTAATGAAAATGACTATTCTTTGTTAGGTATTCGTTGCAATTAATTCGAAGTATGCCTTAGGGTTTTTTTCAGGGAACCGCCCCTAACTTAATCTTAGGTTCTATTTCATGTTACCATCCTTAATTACCCAAGTTTCAGAAAACCATCCCAACTACCATTCCGTTATCATAGAACCATCCATGCCCTTTTCCATCCAATTTTCCATCCAAAGAATTATGGTTTGACAGTTTTACCCTTACATAGGTTTAGTTTTGTTGAAAGTTGGGCATCAAAATTCAATAACTCAAATTATTTCCCAATTATTTCCCAATTTAACTTTGAGACCCAAATTTCAACAAAATTAAACTTATGTAAGGGTAAAACTGTTAAACCATAACTTTTTGGATGAAAATTGGATGGAAAAGGGCATGGGTGGTTCTATGATAACGGATTAGTGGTTGGGGGTGGTTTTCTGGAATTTGAGTAATTAAAGGCGGTAATGCGAAACAGAGCCTAAGTTAGGGGTGGTTCCATAAAAAAACCTTTTTATTTTCATATTTCCGCTAGAAAGTTCATGTGTTCTGGTCTTATCTTGCTAATTTAAGTTAGGGGTGGTTCCATTAATTGGGGGGGGGGGGACCCCTTTTTCTCCTGCATTTCAAAAAATTAGAATATACCACACGGGGCTACATCCTGAATATGCCTCTTCATACACTAAATTCAAAGAGTACAACTTACTGCCTGTTCTTTGATGCAGGCCTACTACCTTGACTTGTACTCTTCCAATTATCCTCTTATTATTGCTCTTTACTTGCACATCCTTGTGTTCTAGCAAGTTGCTTTAGAAGTGAAAGCATAAGATGTTTTCGAAAAGAGAACATAACAACTTGGTACCATATCATATATGCATCTTGACATAAAATTAAATAAATAGACACTGTCTTCTTACCATCAGAATCCAAGGATAAATTATTGCATGTTACAGGAGATGCTGTCTATTTCAAAAGTCCTGTTACAATTAATATCAGATATTCAGATATCTAATAGAAATCTCTACAAACCTGAATCCTATGCATTAATACTGCATTTTCCAGGTGAAATGATTGCCCTGTCAACGCAGCCACAATTAGTATCTATGTCCCTTTTTTTCTTGGGCTTCCACTGCTTTTAATACACAACATATTCTATGTGTACATTTTTTACCTCTCTATGGGTATACGAAGTCCTTGTCGATGGTAAAATTGAACGCTTGAGCAACAGCGTATTGCAGTATAATATTACTCAATGCTCTTTAAGTTATATGACCCATAAGCGTCTTGACTTAATGAGCCATTAAAATCTTGATACTCGATCTGTCAGCATTGATGTTAAGGTTTCAAGATTTAGGGGTCGTCATTTTAAACGGGCAAGTGAGAGAACTTTGCTATTTTTGGCAGGATGAGTTAAGAGATGCAGTGCTGCTCGTCTTTGCAAACAAACAAGATCTTCCTAATGCTATGAACGCAGCGGAAATCACTGACAAGCTTGGCCTGCATTCCCTTCGTCAACGCCACTGGTATTATTTCTTCTCAACTTCGTCACTTCTTCTACCTCTCAAGTGTTTTGTAATAGCTTAGATAATATTTCACTTTATTAGTAACGATGTGTATCCTAATGGATCCTCATTTTGTATTACTACAATATATTAATCGATCCATGTGATTCGCTCAGGTACATCCAGAGCACATGTGCCACATCTGGAGAAGGGCTGTATGAGGGATTGGACTGGCTGTCAAACAACATTGCTAACAAGGTTTGCTTCGACTCATCTGCTACTGTAGTCTTACATTCGTTGAGCCTCTGCTCATCTGCGAGTAGTTTTCGAATACTAATTATTGCCTTGTTTGCTTGTATTCATGCAGGCTTAGGTATTACTGGGCACGAGAGCTGAAAGTTACCAAAGATGTCGTCTTTTTTATAAATATATATATGGTCAGAGGGAGTTGTTCCCATGACCCATTACCTACCCTAGCTTTGTTGTCAATAGACCAGAATATTCTGGATAGTTGTGCTTCATATTTCAGGCTGCGATGTTTATTATTATTATTTTTATTTTTTCTTGTCAACTCTGTTTCTGGTGACTTACGTTTTGGCTGAATTTCGCATTCAGACGTCAGCACTTAAAAGCCGAACTTGATGGCTCAGTTTCTATTAGATTCTTTGTCACTGTCTTAATTGTGTGCTTTCGTCAAGTTTCTCGTTGCCGGTGTTTTGAGCGTTCATATATTAGATGCATGTATAGTCTGAGTTTGATTATTTTAGATAAATATAGAAAATACACCAGCTGTGCATATGCTGTGCGTGGCTGCTCGTCTTCTCGATTGATTGTGTTCGTATTTGATGATTTCGTTGGTGTGTTCGTGGGCGATCGATGGTTCCTATCTGCACAGCTCCTGATCGCTTCTAAACCCATCATAATGCTCATAATGCTTGATGAGAGCAGTTGTCTTCAACAACGTTTCTATTGTGGGGGCGCCATCTTTCAACTCGAAATTTTCTTTCCCTCACCAATTGTATACAACTGCGTCGTGGCCGCGACGATCAGACGGTTTTCCATTCCTAATTTTACATTAATGTAGTTAGCATACATGATCAGTAAATATCAGTTCTATACTCAACATGAAACTCTTCGAAGGACATCTTTTGTTGTTGTGGAATAAGCACACCAAGCCCTATTAACATACTAACAAGAGGTGAAAAAATGCTATTGTGAAGAGATTGATATTATTCATATTATTCATGCATATGCATACGAATGTTCCAAGAGAAAGAAAAAATGAATTTTCGGTTTCCCTCATCTTGCAATTGTTTCCGATTCACTAATTATTTGATCCGAGTAGAAAATCATACAAGGAGAAATGAGAATGTGATGCATGTACCATTATCAATTCTAAATCAGTGCAATCAATATACAATATCAGTGCAATCAATATCAATGCAATCAGGATATTGTAACAATGTAACCGTCAATAACCTACCAGCACAATCGAAACACAGTATTAATATCGTCAAAATACGCCATCAATGTACTCGCTTACCCGCCGCCCGCGCCCCCCTCCCCACCCTTAAAAAAAAAAGGGAAAAAAAACTCTCTTCTGCCAAGACGCACAAGGCCCATATACAGAGGGGCTCGCGCACCAAATTCAAATAGCACCGCTCGCTTCCCTCTCAAACCAATCCCGCACGAGCGCATGCACGGCACAAAAATGCTCGCTCAGCGCTCCCTCCGATCCCACCCTCACGAGCCCCCTCTCCTGCCTCCGCCGCCTCTCTCCTGCATTCGTCACCAAACCGAGGCCCAAACTCGCGGCGTACGCAGCTCGTCTCCGCCTCTCTATTCCTCCTCACCTCCTCCCCGCCTCCTCCCTCTCGCTCCCTTGCTTCCCTCCGCTCCCTCGCCCCCACCGCTTCTCGCCCCTCCCTCCTCGACTCCCTCCTCGCCGCGCCCCGCTTCTCTCCGACGGCCATGACGCCCACCCCGCGCCCTCGCCTTCTTCCGCCTCGCCTCCTCCACCTCCGGTCCTCCCGCTCCTACCACCTTCGCTCTTGCGACCCCTCCTGCTAACATCCTCGCCCGCTCCCGCCGCTTCCCCGACTGCTTCCGCCTCCTACGCCACATGAAGCAGGCCGACCCCTCCCTCATCTCCCCCCGCACCCTCCAAATCGTCCTCGCCCGCGTCGCCAAGGTCTGCTCGCTGCCGCAGACCGTGTCCGACTTCCGAAAATTCAGGAACCTCGCCGACCCCTTCGACACGTCCTGCTTCAACGCCCTCCTCCGGGCGCTCTGTCAGGAGAAGGGCATGGGTGACGCGCGGAGCGCGTACCATTCCCTGAAGCGCGAGTTCAAGCCGAACATAGCGACGTTTAACATACTGCTCTCCGGGTGGAAGGGCGTCGAGGACGCCGAAGGGTTTTTCGGGGAGATGCTGGAGCTGAGGGTGAAGCCGGATTTAGTCACGTACAACTGCCTGATAGACGTGTACTGTAAGAACAGGGAGATAGAGAAAGCGCGCGGGGTGTTCGACAGAATGCGCGGGGAGGAGATTTGGCCCGATTTGATTAGCTACACCAGTTTAATCGGCGGGCTCGGGCTTATCGGGCAACCCGACAAAGCTAGGGACGTTTTAAGCGAGATGAGGGAGGTGGGGTGCTTGCCTGACGTCGCGGCGTACAACGCCGCGATCCGGAATTATTGCATCGCTAAGAGGTTGCGCGACGCGTTCAAGCTGATGGAGGAAATGGGTTTGAGAGGACTGAGTCCCAACGCGACGAGCTATAATTTGTTTTTCAGGGTTTATTACTGGGCGAACGACTTCAGAAGTGCGTGGTGGTTGTATAAGAGGATGATGGCCGATGGGTGTTTGCCTAATGTGCAGTCGTGCATGTTTATAGTGAGGTTGGCGAGGAGGAACGAGAGGGTTGATATGGGTTTGGAGCTTTGGGGAGATATGGTGGAGAAAGGGTTTGGGGCGCTTAGGTTGGTATCGGATGTTTTGTTCGACTTGTTGTGTGATTTGGGGAAGTTGGACGAGGCCGAGAAGTGTTTTATGGAGATGGTCGACAAAGGGCAGAAGCCGAGCAATGTTTCGTTCAAGAGGATTAGGGTTTTGATGGAGCTCGCGAACAGACACGAGTCGATTAAGAATTTATCGGCAAAAATGGCAGAATTTGGGAATTCAGTAGAGATTGAGGAGGATAGAGATAGTGAGACGGACAGAGAGTGAAGATTGCTATAAATGCGAAATTTGTAGCTCTCACTATCGCAGTGAATGCATTTGTAGAGCCATGGCAAATTGTCACGAAGCCATGCAAGTTTTTTGGATGAGATGGATCTGTACCTTGTTGTGTTCATCCTGGATATTGAAGATCAAGTCCATGACGATATCCTATTCCTGTCAAGAACTTGGAATGATTATCGAGGTTTGAGATATCGGTACCGCTGTAGTTATTTGGAAGTCTCCTATTTTGCGGTTCTTATCTCCTCATAAATCCAAGAAATCCAAAATGGCCAGCCTGGTGCACGAAGCTCCCGCCGTGTATGGTGTTCCGTTTTGAAAAATTATTAGGTGCTCATTGAGTATCAAGCTGGCATACACCACAACAATGCAAGTAGGTCATGCGGCACAAATGTCACGCAAATGTGAAGGTGATGAAATTAAATAAATTATTTTGTAATATGAGACCTACTCCTGTACACAGAATTTCTCATTGAGCACCAAAGAATTTCTCATTCTAGAGGGATCACACCACTTTTTGTCTACTGTACACAGCCCGTAAACTTTCAAAATTTTCGTTTGGTTAGCAGGAGAATGGAATGAAAAGTTTATTTTTCTCTGGTTCTCCCCTGTGAAAACACCTTTGTTTATTTTTTGAGAAAAGCGAGAAAATTGGAAAAGGAAATATGAACATGATCATGTTTGATTTTGCTTTAGACTGTTGGCAATCAGACTGTAGAGTACATAAAAGAAAAGATAAAAGGATAAGTTTATATTTTAAACATTATCATACAAATTATATAGACATTTCGTTGAGAAATAAACTAATCCAACCTGTATATATATTTGTTGATTATTTATAAACTACAACACATAATTCCCTTTACTGAAATCACATGCATTCTTAATGTTTTGAGAGCAAGTTGACATTATTACTCATTACTTCTATCCAAAACTTTATGCAAGTTGAATGCAGCTGTATCTCAAAATCTTTAAAAGCCTCATTCTTATCACTAATCACATTCAGTTACACTTGGAATATTTTCATTTAGCACAGTTCATCCCCAAAAAAAAAAAACTCCGAGCAACATACAGCCAGAACATACACGACACATCCATGCAATACACCATCATATTAATTCGATACAACCTCAAAATAGAGTGAATCTCTGAGTCTCCAAATAACACATCAAGAAACACTTCATTCAAGCTTCCATACAAATCACCATAACTGATGCATCCTATAATATGCTCATAAAGCAACACAAGCCAAAGGTAACAAAGAAAATGGCTCCTCTTCTACTTTTTATCAGGCAGGTGTAGGTTTGTAGTCGATGACGATGACTTTCTCCAATGCAGGGAGGAAGTTGTTCGAAAATTCCACGTGCACTGGATGTGAAACGTACTCTGCAATCCCTTCAATGCTTTCAAAGGTTGATTCGAAGACATGAGTGAAACCTTGATGCATGTTCTCTATGCTCACATCCTTTCCCCTGCGTGCATAAACACAAGGTAAGATTACTATGTAAACTAAATAGGGCAAATTCTGCTGTAAAATTCTGCCAGTTGCGTTTAGAATTTAAATGTCCGCAAACACAAATAACAAAAGAGAATTAAGCAATTCATAGCTGAGAATAGTTAATAGTTTCCGGGTTTAAGCTCAAGTATATTACCATATTGAAAATGATTAGAAACGATAATGAATTTAAATAGAAATTTGGGGTCGATGCTTAATAATTTAATTTTATTTGTCAGAGGTCCATATCTACTACTTAAGCCCTATCTAACTCCAAAGAGACCCAATAATTACCAGAGGAAAATGCAAATTTGCATGTCTAAAGATTAATTACAAGGCAAAATAATGAAAAGTGAGGATATGATCAACAGTAAGACATAATATGTACCCCTTTCCCAAAGTTTGTTACTTTACAAAAACAAGTTCAGTAACTCAGGAGAAGACTATTCCTCTAAATTTGGCTAAGTCAAGAGTTTCCACAAACCAAAATAGTCGGTGTTCTCTTTCGAACTGTACGAAGAAAATGCCTCGGTGATGATAAACATTTGTCACCTAATGAAACACAGATCACCACAATAGATGTGATCTTAAATGATATGATCAAAAGATGTGCAGCTCTGCTATTAAAAGTGTGAAGGCTACATTGTAACTCAAAGAGATGTCATAACTGCAAACGTATCTTTTTCCTTGAAATTATATATCTCATATATATATATAGATATATATAGAGAGAGAAACTTATGTCAACTTAAGTGGATCATCCATCAAAGTTTCTATCCATTGATGAAAAGTCTCTTCATATGATGCGCGGATCTCTATGTATCATAAATAGATAAAAACTTTGGTGGATTCTAAGGTGACACCCTAGGCTCCCACCTAAGGACGCGGCCTAAAATAACATCATTTCCTAATTTTTTTTACGATCTGCTCCGTTAAACTTGATCTACAACGTTCTTAAACCCAAATACACCATAAAGTGCTATACTTTGCCTGAAGCTTCGAAATTCAGCGAGGACCGCCCGACGCGGTAGATGATTGGCCAATAAATACGATGCGTCGATCGTCGAATGTTTTCGTTGCGGGGAAAAAAACTAAAATGGTTCTCGACAACTTGATGTGCAGAATTTTTAGAGAGCATAAGGTGCTATACTTTGACCTTAAGGTGCTATACTTTGCCCATAAGGTGTTATACTTTATCATAAGGTGCTATACTTTGGCCATAAGGTGCTATACTTTCCCGTAAAGTGCTATACTTTGCCTGAAGCTTCGAAATTCAACGAGGACGACCCGACGCGGTGGATAATCGGCCAATAAACACGATGCGTCAGTAGTCGAGTGTTTTTGAGTGTTTTAGGGTTTTTTTGAGTGGGAGGAGCACCAGAAATATAGTTTATTTGATACTTTGGGTTTATAAATAAGTGATACTTTGGGTTTATAAATAAGTGGGTGTTGTATTTTGGGTGTATGGATCATAATGAAAGAAGGTGGGTTTAAAAATAAGTTGGAGTAAAACTTTGGGTTAAAAGAAGATTTTCCCTTATTATTATTATTTTTATTTTTTCTTGTCAACTCGGTTTCTGGTGACTTACGTTCTGGCTGAATTTCGCATTCAGACGTCAGCATTTAAAAGCCGAACTTGATGGCTCAGTTTCTATTAGATTCTTTGTCACTGTCTTAATTGTGCGCGCTTTCGTTGAGTTTCTTGTTGCCGGATTGCTTCATGTCTTCTTCAATGTTTTGCTAAAATTGATGTTTTTCTTTAGTCGGTCTTCTGCTATGCGGGTGTTTTGAGCGTTCATATATTAGCTGTGCGTGGCTGCTCGTCTTCTCGATCGATTGTGTTCGTATTTGATGATTTCGTTGGTGTGTTCGTGAGCGATCGATGGTTCCTATCTGCACAGCTCCTGATAGCTTCTAAACCCATCATAATGCTCATAATGCACTCCTAATCTCTTTTGAATTCGTCATAATGCTCAAAATGCTCATAATGCTTGATGAGAGCAGTTGTCTTCAACAACGTTTCTATTGTGGGGGCGCCATCTTTCAACTCGAAATTTTCTTTCCCTCACCAATTGTATACAACTGCGTCGCGGCCGCGACGATCGGACGGTTTTCCATTCCTAATTTTACATTAATGTAGTTAGCATACGTGATCAGTAAATATCAGTTCTATACACCACATGAAACTCTTCGAAGGACATCTTTTGTTGTTGTGGAATAAGCACACCAAGCCCTATTAACGTACTAACAAGAGGTGAAGAAATGCTATAGTGAAGAGATTGATATTATATTATTATTCATGCATATGCATACCGTATGTTCCAAGAGAAAAAAAAAATGAATTTTCGGTTTCCCTCATCTTGCAATTGTTTCCAATTCACTAATTATTTGATCCGAGTTGAAAATCATATAAGGAGAAATGAGAATGTGATGCATGTACCATTAACAATTCTAAATCAGTGCAATCAATATATAATATCAGTGCAATCAATATCAATGCAATCAGGATATTGTAACAATGTAACCGTCAATAACATACCAGCACAACCGAAACACAGTGTTAATACGGTCAAAATACACCATCAATGCACTCCTTTAACACACACACCCTCCTCCCCCCTCAAAAAAAAAAGGGAAAAAAAAACTCTCTCGCCAAGACGCACAAGGCCCATATACAGAGGGGCTCCCCCCAAATTCAAAAGCCACCCTCCTCCCTCTCAAACCAATCCCCACACGCGCACGCACAAAAATGCTCCTCAAACGCACGCACAACCTCCTCCTCCTCCGCCGCCGCCTCTCCTCCTCTCCGTCACCACCCGAAGGCCCAAACTCCGGCGACCCCCAACTCGTCTCCGCCCTCTACTCCCTCCCACGTACTAACAAGAGGTGAAGAAATGCTATAGTGAAGAGATTGATATTATATTATTATTCATGCATATGCATACGTATGTTCTAAGAAAAAAAAATTGAATTTTCGGTTTCCCTCATCTTGCAATTGTTTCCGATTCACTAATTATTTGATCCGAGCAGAAAATCATATAAGGAGAAATGAGAATATGATGCATGTACCATTACCAATTCTAAATCAGTGCAATCAACATACAATTTCAGTGCAATCAATATCAATGCAATCAGGATATTGTAATAATACAACCGTCAATAACATACCAGCACAACCGAAACATAGTGTTAATACGGTCAAAATACACCATCAATGTACTCCTTTAAACCCCCCCCCCACCACAAAAAAAAAGAAATTCTCTCTCGCCAAGACGCACAACTGCACAAGGCCCATACACAGAGGCTGCCCCCAAATTCAAAAGCCACCCTCCTCCCTCTCAAACCAATCCCCACACGCGCACGCACAAAAATGCTCCTCAAACGCACGCACAAGAATTTATCAGCAAAAATGGCAGAATTTGGGAATTCAGTAGAGATTGAGGAGGATAGAGATAGTGAGACGGAAAGAGAGCAGAGATTGCTATAAATGCGAAATTTGTAGCTCTCGCTATCACAGTGAATGCATTTGTAGAACCATGGCAAATTATCACAAAGCCACATAAATCTTTTGGATGAGACGGATCTGTACCTTGTTGTGTTCATCCTGGATATTGAAGATCAAGTCCATGATCCTATTGTGGAGGAGAACTTGGAAAAAGCAGTTTTTTGGTCATAAGTCGACTCATTCACAGGCATAAGTCGACTTATGGTAAGTCGACTTATGTTCGTGTCGTAAGTCGACTTACGATCTGCTCTGGATTGTTGATTTTGGGCTCTGGCAAGTCGACTTATCAGGTCTGATAAGTCGACTTATGATCTCTTCTCCAGTTATCGTTTTTCGCTCTGCCAAGTCGACTTATGCAGACTGATAAGTCGACTTACGACGGGTTTTTTGGAAAGTTTAGGTTCCTATTTGCAGTCTGTTTGGGTTTCTGTTTTGGTATAAATACCAATACGATTTGAGGGTTTTGTAGGAGCATTTTGGGGGGATTTTGAGCAAAAAAAGAGAGATCTTTCTGAGCTATTTGTTAGGGTTATTGGTTGAGAGGTTGAGAGATTTGTTGGTGAGATTAGTTAGTTCGTTTGAGCGATTTGTAATCTCAATTTGTACTCTCCTTCTCTATTAGTAGAAACCCACCCCCTTCTTGCCCCGTGTTGCCGAACCACGTTAAAATTAGTGTTTGGTTTGTGCATTGATATTTGGTTGTTTTTGGCCTTCTTGGATCGGCGTTTGTTTTGGTTCCTCGGCGCCGCCGTCAGCACAACAAGTGGTATCAGAGCTCGGGCTACGCTAGGGCTATTTGGAGGAGTAGATCGCTTTGAAAGTTCATCTAGAGCTTCGTTTGGTGATAAAGGTGGGATCTTTTTGGTAAAAATCTCGTCTTTTTCAGTTTGGATCTATTTCTCGTTTGTTTCCGCATTGGTTTGGTGGTGCTTTGAGGATTATGGCCGAGAAAGAAGGAGTTGTGGGCAGTACTTCCGGCGTGAAGACCGTCCAAAGCTTGAATATCCACTCGATGAAGATTGACGTGGAAAAGTTCAATGGCACAAACAATTTTGGACTTTGGCGATGCGAAGTCATGGATGCGCTCAACGCGCAAAATTTGGAAGATACGTTGGAGTTGGTTGGGAAACCGGACAATATTGATGAGAAGGTTTGGAAAAATATGAATCGAACGGCGTGTGGTGTGAGTAGGTCTTGTCTCACTCAAGATCTAAAGTATGATGTGATCAATGAGACTTCTGCAAAGAAGATTTGGGAGATCCTTGAGAGCAAGTATTTAACCAAGAGTGTGGAGAATCGCTTGCATTTGAAGAGGAGGCTTTACCGCTTCCAGTTGAAGAAAGGAACCCCCATTGATGATCACATGAACCACTACACGAAGCTTTTTGCGGATTTGGCGAATGCAGATGTGGTGATTGAAGATGAGGGCAAGGCGTTGTTGTTGTTGAGTTCCTTGCCCGACGAGGAATATA